GAGTAAATATTCTATTTAAAATTATATATAATCCTACTAATTATTTTGAAATGACTGATTACATAACTAATAATTTTTTAATTATTTAAGTATTATTTTGTTAGTTTTAATTATAAATTATATTATTAATTATCTCTTTAATCACTTTAGAATTCTATTGCTCATTAATTATTATTTACACTATTAATTGTATATTTAATAATACATATTTTAAGTTATATTAATTAATATAATTATATTAATATTTAATTACTAATTATTCAGTTAAATTTAATTATCAAATTAATTAATTTACTTAACTATTAATATTTTAAATTATATTAATTAAGTTAATCAATAATAACTTAGAAGCGTCTAGGGTTTGCCTTTCATCTTCTCTCTTCGTCGTTGCTCTTCGGCTTCGTTGCTTCGCAGGAGGTGAAGAGATTGCAAGAGTCGCTTCTTCCGTTCTTCGGCTCATACGTTGCTGTTCGACTTAGCTCCTTCGGCGACTTTCCCTTCCTGTCGGATCGGATGTTTCGACATTTTGATCGGAAGCAACAACGGGAGCTCGCTGGCTGTGAAGGTAACTTTCTCCCTTTCGCACGCTTCTTTGGCCAAATCCCGTAAATCCGCCGATCTAAAAGATTTCAAATATTGTGAGATTTAAGCCGTGAGATTTACGGGGCGCTCAAATCCCGTTTGGCAGGATTTAACATAAATCCTTCTCAAATCATGCATAAATCCTGTTGCCAAAGAGCCCCTTATCAGAGAGCTAATTATTATTTGACTATTCACAGTTTCCTATTTTGATCCCCTATATTTTTTGTTTTAGAAATCGTTGTTCTCGGATTCACTCTCACTATGATATCATTTATGATGAAAGTATTTTAATCACTTCAGGACATTACAAATATCATTTTCATTATCTTATTTGTTTTATGGGGTTTCAATTACAGGGCATCTAGCTCAGACCAGTATATAAAAGTGGCATACGCAAACTCTCCGTATAAAGCCGATGACGGAAGAGCAATGTTCTCTACTTCTTGATTCAGCTTCTCTTTTCCCTCTACCACATGGTCTGTATGATCTCATGCACCAAAAATTAAAGCCAACCACATAATCTGTGCAAAAAGACATCAATTCTTCTTTTTTGTTTCAGGGGTGACATTCTCATATGGTACGGCAGGATTTAGGGCAGATGGGTTGAAGCTGTCATCCACAGTTTTTCGAGCTGGTGTGTTGGCAGCACTAAGATCTCTGAAAACTGGCTATGCTGTTGGTCTTATGATCACAGCCTCCCATAACCCTATTACAGACAATGGCATAAAGATTGCCGACCCTGATGGTGGCATGATGGCTCAGGATTGGGAGCCCTTCGCTGATGCTCTTGCTAATGCCCCGGATCCTCAAAGCTTTGTTAAGGTTGGCCCTTTTATTTTTTCTTTTCTTTTTTTTTTTCTGTTGTTCCATCTTTCATCCTATGCAATGACCATTGTAATGTTGACATTTGCAAAAAAAAAATATTTTGCGCATCGATGTCAATGAATTATGAAGTTAATGACTTGATCCTCTTATGTCTATTTGTTAGCATGACTAGGATAGAACATGTGATATGCAATAAAAAGGGGAAATTTTGTCAGATATACAACCTTATTTTAAATTGATTCCCTTGCAGATTTTGTGGCTGTTAATCGGTCATGATTTTAGTTATGGTGTTTGACTTGCATGAATTATAGATTGATTTTTTTCAAGTAATTTTTTCTTGTATTGCACTAAATACCGGTTTAATGATGAGTTTATATTAAATTTTGTTGAAATTTTCATTGTATCTGTCTCTTCTAGTGTGTTCTAATGGTACTTGCTTGTTTTGGAATGAGATTTATTTTATTTTAATAAATATTTCCTTCTTTTTGTTTAAGTTGGTTCTCCATTTTGCCAAGGAAGAAAATATCTCATTAAGCAGAGAAAGTTCTGCAGTAATCTTGTTGGGAAGAGACACTAGACCTACTGGTGAATCTCTCCTTGAAGCTGCCAAACAGGTAAGATCTATATATGCATCAGCTTCTGTTTTTGCTTTCTATTGAGCATCTGCTTAATTGATACTTATCCTGTTTTGGTGTGAAGGGAATTAAATGCATAATTGGTTCTGTTGCACTTGATATGGGGATAGTAACCACTCCACAACTTCATTGGATGGTTAGGAGCAAGAACATGGGAATGAAAGCTTCTGAGTCTGATTACTTCATGCAGCTCTCAGAATCTTTTAGGTCTGCACGATCATTCTCATTCAAATAATGCAATTAGATTCGTTTAATCTCGTGCCTGATTTGAATGTGGGATACAGGTGCCTGATGGATATGATCCCCAAAGAAATGACAGTGAAAGGGATTGTAACTCAGCTTATGGTAGATGGAGCCAATGGTGTTGGTGGAGACAAGCTCGAACAACTTAAAACATTGTTGACGGGCCTTCAGATCCAGGTGAAAAACACTAGTAAACAGGGCGAAGGTATACTGAATGAGGGAGTTGGTGCTGATTATGTTCAAAAAGAGAAAGTTCCTCCCCGTTGCTTTGGTCCTAATGATATTGGATTAAGGTGAAGAATCTGATTATCTTTTGTATAAACTTGTTATTTCTATGAACAGCTGATGCCAATTATAAAGTGGGCTTTAGTGTTGCAGATGTGCAAGTTTGGATGGAGATGCTGATAGGCTTGTGTATTTTCGAATCTCAAAGATAAATAGCAGTAGCATTGATCTTGTAGATGGAGACAAGATATTATCTCTGTTTGCATTATTTATCAAGGCGCAGCTTCATTGTCTAAACAAAAGTGAAAGTGATGGCTTACGTAATGTATTGCCAGCAAGGGTTGGTGTAGTTCAGACAGCTTATGCTAATGGAGCATCAACTGATTACCTGAAACAACTTGGTCTGGAAGTTGTTCTTACTCCCACTGGCGTGAAATATCTACATAAGAAGGCTGCAGAATATGATATAGGGATCTATTTTGAGGCAAATGGTCATGGGACTATTTTATTTTCAGAATATTTTTTATCTAATTTACAGAAAATGGGCAATGATTTGGCTTCTTCAAATGCAGGTTATTATTATTATTATTTTTTATGATGATATTTCTTCATTTAATTTTATGATTATGTCTTACTAGTTAGTTCTCTTTTTAAAGGCTCAGAACCTCATAAGGCTGCTTTAAGACTTTTGGCTGTTAGCAAGTTGATTAATCAGGCTGTAGGGGATGCTCTTAGTGGGTTGCTTTTGGTGGAGGTTGTGCTCCAATATATGGGGTGGTCTATGCAAAACTGGATTGAACTCTACGATGATCTTCCAAGTAGACAACTAAAGGTAAAATTCCTTTCCCAAGCCCCGCACCATCCCTTTCGAGTTCTTTCTTGGCAAATGCAATGGTATATTCTTGAAAATCATATTTGTTGAGATTGAAGAAGCTTATGGGGCTATTTGTTTGCAAGTATAAGAAAATAATTTGTGTTTCCAAGACAATGAAATTTGAATACATTGTATTTTAAATTCAGGGAAATTATTTGTTTGTTTGGTTGAACTAATGCAATTAAGAATTAAAAATAAGGAAAAAAAATCTAACCTTGGCAATTGGGAAGTAACAGGAACTGGGCTGTGGGCGAAGAAATCGTCACGAAAACTCGCTAAGGGGAGGAAATTGTGATGGGAGTTGGGCCTCTTGTGAGGAAAATCCTGACAGGAGTCGGGGAAACATTGTTGTCGTCTCCGGAGCAGAGGGGCGCTGAGGCTTGGTATTGGTCATTGTTGGAGGGAGTTAGCTCGGGGTAGAGGTGTAAATGAGTCGAGTCGAGTAATAGTGCTATCGAGTCGAATCGAGTAATTGTATTTTGGTAGCCACAATTAGGTATTATTCTCGGAAAATAAATGAGATGAAAAAAACCATAATTTTGGTTTCTGGTGGTTTATGATTAATTGTTGAAACAATCTCATTCAATGTTTGAGAACTATTTGTTTCTTATCAATCAGGTAAAGGTTGCAGACAGAACTGCTGTTATCACAACAAACGCAGAAACCAAAGTTGTGCAGCCCTTTGGTTTACAGCAAGCAATTGATGCTGAAACTGGTATAATCTTACATATTTCTCATCCTAGTTTTGAAGGAACACATACTTTATATTAACAGATTTCCATGTTAAGAACTCAGACCATTTGCTTTTTCTTACCATTGGTTTTTTCACCTTTTCTCCCCGATCTTTCTGCAGCTAAGTACCATCAAGGTCGGTGTTTTGTTCGACCATCTGGTACAGAGGATATAATACGTGTTTATGCCGAGGCATTTTCCCAGGAAGCAGCTGACTCTCTTGCTAGATCTGTTTCACAGCATGTAGATCACTTTCTTGGATTCAGAACCTCACAGAAATCAGATTGAATGGATGGACACATTCGCAGTTTGGAATGAACTTTTTGTTGGTAACTTAAAAGTCTTTGTTTGGGACAGCGTTTTCATTGCTTTTTAAAACTGCTTTCTGGTACAAAGTGTTTTGAACTAAAAATTTTTGTATTAAGAAGTTGCTTTAAAAAACAGTATAAAGGCCGTCCCAAACGAAGCCTTAAGTCACAGCCTTGTTATTATTTTCTAAAACAGTTTAGTATAAAAGTTTTTTAAATTTGAAAGCTGCTTTAAAAATTAGTAAGAAAGTCGTCCCAAACAAAACCTGCATCGAAAAAAAATTAGAAGCAGGTAGAAAGCTATTCATTTCTGTAATGGCTGAGAAAATATTGAATGCATTGGTCAAACTACTGCCCCCTGAATAAGTTAAGTGCTTAAAATCTTCTAAGTTTTAAATACTATCTTTTTCTGATCAAAATATGTGAGACCCCTCGTCTTTTTAAGGAAAAATTATTATCTGCGGAATGCATAGCTTTTCATATGGACTTCAATTACGTAAAAGTTGCTGAATATTCTTTCTCTTGTCCGAACTCCGCATGTAATAATTTTTCTCTTCAAGGACAAAGCAATAAAGCGAAGATAGAATCAACTAGCATGATTCACAATTCAGATATAATAGTTTTTTTTTTTAATGAGATATTTGAGTCATTAAAATAAATTCATACATATATTACATACATAAGCGGTTAAGCTTTGAATTAAAAGAAATTATTTTGTGTGGAAACTGGAAGATACGTGGACAAATTAAAAAGCGTCATTTCACTTGGTACGCAGTGGTACCAAGCGAAAAAGTGATGTGACGTATTTTGGTTAGTCTTCGGACGTTCATTCGTGTCCACACAAAATAATTTTTCCTGAACTCAAGATCTCTTAGTTAGTAGTCAAAGTTCTTAATAAATAGATCAAGATAAGATGATGTGTATGATGTAAGAGGTTTCAATTGAAAAATAGTTAGTTAAAAATAAACTTTTTTTGGAAGAAAAAAGTTTTAACATTTTTTTATTTTTAAAAATTATTTTATTTAAATACTTTTAAAATATTTGATTAAAATATATTTTAAATTTAATTTATATTTAAATTTCTGTAACTAATAATAATATTTAGTAGTATATATCAACAATCAATAAAAAAGAGAAAAGTAAAAAATTAACTCAAATTTGATAATAATATATTTAAAAAAATTTTAATTATGCGTTACTTATACATTATATTTATTTTTATGCGAAATTCATTCTCACTGATTAAATATTTTCCTCTTAAGTCGCTCTTAGATTGTTTTGTTTTTAAGAAAATATTGCGCAGAATTAACCGGTCTCCTCTCCACCGCTACGCCCGTCGCCGGAGCACTCAACTCCTCCGCCTCATGGCCTTATCGCTCTTCGGCCCCGCCGTCATTGCTGTCCTCTTCCTTGTTCTGCTTCCGGATCGCGTCTGGGCATCCGATAGCTCGCCGATCGGCGGCGGCGTCAAAGTTTGTATTTAGAAGCCCTAGTCCTCCGATTCATTCTTCTTGATTTTTGCCGCCACTCTAAAATCACTTCTCCCTGTTGCAAAGCAGATCACGTATGGATCTGTTATTAAGCTAATGCATGAGAGAACAAAGTTCCGGTTACACTCTCATGACATCTCCTACGGATCGGGAAGTGAGCAGCAATCGGTCACCGGTTTTCCTGATGCGGACGACTCAAATAGTTACTGGGTAATGGCTATATGACATGCGATGTCGATATTTTTTTTTTCCTTTGGTTTCTCATTGTGCTTGTTGACTTTTCTGAAATAGATCATAACGAGTAATTTGATCACGTCTGAATTTGCCGGTTTATTTGGCCCCCCTTCTTCCCCTTTATTGGTTGTGTTTTTTTTTGTTCCATTACAAACTCTCTCGTCGTGTGCTTCTTAGGTGTTACAGCACTTAAAAAAAACAAATTTTATTTCCCTGTTTCTTGGTTCTTATACACTTCAGCCAATGAAGCTTTTCATGAGACCACTCCTTTCTTTTCGCCATCATCTTCATTTAAGGCATTTTCCCCACATGTTCCTTTTTATGTAGAAACTAATATGCCTACCTCTACCCGTTATATGATTTTTCTTGTTGACCCCAAGCACCTTTTACAACATTACCTCCAACCACATTGTCAGATTTGATTGATCTTCCACCTACCAATTACATTAGGAAAAAGTAAAAGGCAATATATTTCTCATCCCATTATCTTTTATGTCATTTGATCATCTTTCCTTATCCCCAAGTTATATCAAGAAGCGCTTTGCAACCTTAATGAAAATAAATTATAAATACTGAAAAATGAGATATTTTCAGATTTCATAGATGGGTTTTAGTTTACCCCTTTCTATAGTTAAATAAATTACTTGTTGATGGGTGTTTATTGTCAAATTTAATCTTGGTGGCTTGATTTGATCAATTTAAAGTTCATTTGGTTGCAAAATGATTCACATAGGCTTATGAGATAGATTATTTTGAAATTCTTTCCCTAATTATGAGACTTAATTCAGTCAAAATTCTCTTATTTGTGGCATCAATTAAGGATGAACTATGCTACAAATGGATGCGAGTAATGTTTCCTTTTATGATGACCTGAATGAAGATGTTTTTATAAATTTCTATGATTTGTTACTTAGGAGTAGAACTACATATATCTACTTAGGAAGACCATCCATAGGCTTAACCAAAGTCCATGCACTTGATTTGAAAAGTTTTTCATAGTACTTATGGAGATTGACATCACATTAACACTACAAATCATTATACTTTCACCAAGTATACACCTTTAGACTCTTTCGTATTATTCATTTATGTTGATAACATCTTATTGGAACTGATTAAAAATAATCCGTGAGGTAAAACATTATTTGCAAAAGTGTTATTTCACTAAATATTTGGGACAACCAAAGTGCTTACTTTTGTGGATTTGAATTTTCATACAACAAAAAGGGTATTCATTTCTCAAAGAAAATATTTTATTGATCTTTCTGAAGAGAAGAACTTATGATAATAAGGAGTTTCTTAATGATCCTTTTCGATAATGAAGGTTAGTTAAAAAATTAATTTATGTGATTATTACGAAGGCTGACATTTTATTTGTTGTTAGTCATCATATACAAACTCTAATGCAAAAGTACTAGGAGGCTGTTTAAGCATATCAAAAAGTGTTCTAGAAAATGGCTAATGACTAATATATAATAAGATTGAGCACTTGAATATGAAAGTATTTTTAGTTGTCGATTATGCTAGCTCAATCGAACTCATGAAGTTTACTTTTAGATATTGTATCTTTAGTTGTGGTAACCTTTTCCACTTAGAAAAATAAGAAATAAAGTATTATGGTCAAATTTATAGCTAAGGCTAGCTAATACAAAATTAGTCCCATTTTCCATGTGAAATTATATTTTGGAAGGCTCTTTTTAAGAGAATGAGTTTCTTATTTCCTCAATATTTTTCCTTAATTTGACAATCATGCCATTATTTATATTTCCAACAACTTTGTAATCCATGAAATGGTCAAAAATATTGAAGTTGATCGTCTTTTCATTTGAGATGTTATGTTTTTTTAGCCGATTGCCATTCTCATGTCTTTGATTAGTGTTGTTCAAGCTAATATATTGAAGTTGGCTATCATTTTAGGGATGCTATGTTGTCCAAGCTGATTGTCATTCTTCAAGTCTGATGATGATGATGATGCATGTTCGCTAAGCTATTTGGTCCTGTTTAATTATGTAAAACTTTGCAGATTGTTAGGCCCCAGTTGGATTCCTCTGCCAGGCAAGGGGATGTTATTTCTCATGGAACTATTATCAGGTTGCAGCATATGACAACCAGGAGATGGTTACACAGCCACCTTCATGCATCCCCTCTCTCAGATAACTTGGAGGTCAGTATCAGTTCAATTCTATTTTATTAACTGCTGTTAGCAAATTTAGGCTTCGTTTGAGACAGCTTTTTTATTGCTTCTTAAAGCAGCTTTATAAAAAATTTTAATTTTTGTATTAAAAAGCTGCTTTAAAAAGTAGTAAAAAAGCCGTCCCAATCGAAGCCTTACTCTCTCACAACTATGAATATTCCAATCTGAGAAGTCTATCATACAAATGAAATTTCTTCTGTAGCCTAATACCATTTAAAACTGCCTTATCTGTTTTTTTTTTTTGTCAATGCAACAATTAATGATACAATATTTAGGCCAACCTTCCACTTCTGCTTATTTTGATAGATTCAGGCTTCATTTGAGACGGCTTTCTTATTGCTTTTTAAAGCATCTTTTTAGTAAAAAAATTTAATTTTTGTACTAAAATATTTGCTTTAAGAAGCAGTAAGAAAGCCATTCCAAAGAAAGTCTCAGTAGTTTTCATGCAGTTGGCTGGTGTGAGGTGTTATGATCTAAGTTCTGCTTTCTGAGTGCATTATTTCAATTTCCAGAACATGATTTTACTTGCTCATCAATGTAATTGGTTCATGGTGGACTAAACTCTTGTGATATTAATATACTCATATATGCAGGTGAGTTGCTTCGGAGGAGATGATGAGACAGAAACTGGAGACCATTGGAAGTAAGTTCGACATTTTCATCTACAAATCCTTGTTATGATTCCCAACTCATCCTTGTCGAGTTCTTTCGTGCCAAATTTCCTCAGGCTTGAAATTGAAGGTGCTGGTAAGATCTGGAAGCAGGACCAGAGGATCAGGCTCCGTCACGTTGATACAGGGGGTTACCTGCACAGCCACAACAAAAAATACCAACGGGTCATTGCAGGGCAGCTGGAGGTAATAGTACAATCCATTCTCGATAATAAGTTCCTCTTGTCTTGGCTTCTTTTATAGAAAGTGATGAAAGTATAATTCATTGAAGTCATTTAACTTCAGTTTCGTTTGGGACGGCTTTCTTACTGTTTTAAAATAAAAAAAATAGTTTTTTTATTAAAAAATTATTTTAGGAAACAATAAGAAAGTCATTCCAAATGAAATATTTATGGCCATATATGCTAAAAAAAGGATTATATTATCTTATTCATACTGAATATAAAATATATGATTGTTAAATAAAAATATATATACATTGTATTAAGTATAAATATGTAACATTATAATATTTTAACTAAATGCATTATTTTGCATAATTGTTTTGATATTTTATAAGTTTATATTTTACATTTATATTAATGAAATATATATATTATGAGATTTGCAATGCTTTATGATGTAGAATATTGTGCCATTAGAAGAGAAGCATAAAATTAAGTGTAGTGTTGCATAGATTTGTAGTTCTTCTTGATCAGTTGGTTGGGAGCTTTTGCTATCAACCAAGATGTCGTAGGTTCAAGTCCTCCATATATGATATGTGTTTGTCTTAATTGACCTAAATGTCCCTCTCCCGTGCCCAACAAAGAAAAGTGTTGCAAAGATGAGGATGCTCAGACGGATGAGTGGCTTTACACTTAGAGGCAAAATGTGAAATGAGTGTATACATTAAAAGGTTAGAGTAGCTCCAGTGGCAAATAAGATTAGAGGGAGTTGCTTTAAATGTATTGGTAATATAAAGCGTCGGCTTTTTTATGATCATATTAGACGAGTAGATGTATTAAATACAGCCTATGTTAATAAACGTAGAGGTAGACCTATGAAGACTTAGTTTGAAAGTATTAAAAATAATCTTTTTTATTATATTCAAAGAAGAATCAACACAATAGAGAAAAAAGATTCATGTACTAATGCACCATGCAGTGAGATAAAGCCTAAATATCCTTATTGTATGACGATAATATATGAAAAAGCAATCAATTTTCATGATGAGCCTTATAAAATTCATCGGCAATATGTGATGTTTTCCTAATTAATTTGCAGGTTTGCGGTGTTGAAGAGAAACGCGCAGACAATATCTGGTTTGCAGCTGAAGGAGTCTATCTTCCTGTCAATGAAAACAACTGAACGGTATTGTCCCTTTAAAAAAAAAAAAAAAGCATACCACCATACCACCTTCAATCAAACTCTTAACATATTTTTTCAATTCAAGCTAGTAATTTAATTACATCACACAGAAGATTTCTTTTGTGGGGGATCTTCAAAAGCCTCTCCTAAGATTTCTTTTTTTTTAAATAATTTTAGTCATCAATTGTATTTTGGAATTTACATCCTCATGGTTTTCTATTCAAATATCTCTACTAAATATTGAGAGAGAGAGAGAGAGAGAGACTTCGACAATTTATGAATGGTCTCAGACTTATTTTTATGATGTTGTTTTTTCTTGTATATATGAATAAGTTTAGGGGGATTTATATAAGTGGCATAAAATTTTTATGTATTTATATATCGACAATTTATGAATGGTCTCAGACTTATTTTTATGATGTTGTTTTTTCTTGTATATATGAATAAGTTTAGGGGGATTTATATAAGTGGCATAAAATTTTTATGTATTTATATATTAAATTTTATTAAATTTTATATTTATTTGTATA